CCTTCTTTCTTTCATTCATTCATTCAAAAAATAATTAGTCACTAAATCAAATGTCTTCTTTTCAGCTCTCAGGCTTTCTACTATAATTGAAATACTGTTCTCATAGCCTCTAGTGGTCTCCATTTCTGACTGTTCTGTATCTCTTTCATTATCTAGTCCTTTCTTCTCTACCAACTCTTCAGTGTAGGAGTCTCATGGAAGATCTCTTGACCTTCCTATTTCTATATACTTTATCTTATCAATATGATTTAATCTCTTGGCTTGAAGTTGTATGCAGATGACCATTACATGTTTTTACTTCTTCCAATATCTCTTGAGTTACAGCCACATTTCCAACTCATTTTCAACTCTTTTTTATCTATACCTTGATGTCAATCGATTTCTCAAACCTCCTGTGTCCGGAAGTGAACTTTATCATTCACAAACCTGTTTCTTATTCTTTTTGTTATGTAAATGATAACATTCCTCAGCAGTCATCCAGACTTAAATATGTGACATGATCTTTTGTCTATATTGATCTGATATGCAATAATGGAACACTTAAAGTCAATTCTTTCCTCACAGCATTTCTCCTTTAAGTTATGTCCCCTCATTATTCGCACATGTCCTCTGACTCAGGCCCTCAATATATGTCTTCTAGATTACAGAAATATCTTTGCAATTGTTATCACTATCTTTAGCTTTGCCTCCTCTAAATCCAATTAAATTTCATTTTTAATCGTTTTAATATCATTCACAAAACTTTCTTTATTTTCTTTTGAATGTATAACAAGTCCACTCTCCTAAATTTCATTAGGAAGCTCCATGACCTATTAACAATTTATATTTTCATGCTTATTTCACACTAGTCTATTTCATGTTTTCTTTACTCCAACTAAATTAAATCACTGGCTCTCCTTCATAAGTGCCAAGCAATTTCTTCATTTTAGTTTTTATGGTCCTCTCAGCTTAGAGTGACTTTTGTTTCCTACAAATTGGCCAACTGAATCAAAATTTCAAGGCCTAATCAACAAGTGGCAGAGCATGGATTCAAGTTTAGATTTATCTAATTCTAAGATCATGTTCTTTACGGTAACCAACACTGACTTTTCTCTACTATGATTCTTATATATAGGATTTCTCACATATGGAGTAGTATTCATTTATGCTATCATTTAACACTTATTTGATAATCACCTACTATGTGCCAGATATTATTATAGGATCACCTGATATATCAATAAACAAACATATGAAACAATTCCTGCCCTAATGGAGGGCATATGCTCATGGGATAGTCATAATATGAATAAGATAAATAATATAAATAAGTAAAACCTTTTAAATATTATGTAAGTAATATGCATTAAGCAAAGTAAAATGTAGTAGTAAATGCAATGGTAAGTGCTAAAAAGAAACAAAAATAAAAGAGGAAAGTGTAATTTACCGTATGTGGCAAAGAAGAGCTCAAATTTGAGTTTGGGAAGTCAGAGAAGGACTCACTAAGAAGGTAAATTTTGAGTAAAGACTGGAAGGAGGTGTGGGTATGTTGGGGAAGACAAACTCATGATGAAGAAACAGTGCAAAAGCCCTGAGTTGTGGGACTACTTGGACTATTCAAGGAAAGGTATCGAAGAGGGTCACAATGCTAGGAGATGGTGTCTGAA